AGATTACAAAGATCCAAAAATAAGATGTAAAACTCAAGAGCACATCCCCAGTAACCTACTTTCTCTACTAATGCCCTACCTGCCTATGGTTATCACCCAATAGTCTATTCAAATTATTAATCAATCAAATGGATTAACCCACAGATGAAGCTACAGCTCTAGTGATCTAATCATATCACTTCTGAACTTTCCTGCATTGCCTAACACATGAGATTTTCAGGGGATACCTCATATCCAAACCATAACATTCCTCCTCTTCCCAGCTAAAGTTCATGTTCATCTCACAGTGCAAAATGAACTCATGGCATTTCCAAGAGTTCCCATAATCTGAACAGTTCCATCATTGTCCAGAAGTCCAAATCCAATGTGATCTCTGAGACTCAAGGCAAATTCTTAATTGTAAGTCCTGTTTAAAAAAAAAAAATCACATATGATGTCCAATATATAATGGCCCAGAGTAAACATTCCCATTCCAAAAAGGAGAAATAGGAGCATAGAAAGGGATAGGACCAAAGCAAGACCAAAACCCAGCCAGGCAAACATCAAGTCATGTAGCTTCTCATCTAGCACCTGGGCCACATGGCGGTGAGTTGTGAGCTCCAAAGGGCTTGTATGGTCCCACCCCTTTGGCCTTGCTGGCCACAGCCCGCATGGCCTCTTTCTTGGTCCAGCTTGCCTCACTTTCTGCAGCTTTCCTCCACAGATGGTCCACATTCCAGGCGTCTCCTAATTCCCCAGTTCTCCATTTCATCTTTATCTTTATTCTCACAGTTTCATGCTTCAACCTCTCATGAGCTAGAGGCATGGGACTCTGACCCTGCCACACCTTACCTAGTTTCCCTGTACCTAGTTTTTCCTTCAAATTCTCCATGGAGGCCTCCAGGATGCCCCAATTCATAATCCTGTAGAACCAGCGTCATATGGATGATGTCAAGGTCTGCTGCCACCTTCCACAGCAGCAGGCTTCCCCTTGGACTACAGCTGCAGGGGCGTTGAGTATTTGGGTGGCTGAACATGAGGAGTCAAATTCTGGGAAAATAACTTCCAGGCAGCCTTGTGTGAGCAGTGTGCCCACATTGTCTCTAAAAAGAGCTTCCACTGGCCTTCCATGGTCTTGCTGATTCCTCAAGAATCCAGCTTCTCTCAAAGGCATCTTACCTATTGTCTCTGTGCAAAAAGTGCTTATCACAGAGTAAGAAATCACTTGCTGGCAATTTCTTCAGCAGCCACACCTTCCTTAGCCCCAATTTTGCAATTCCATTTCTGGCAAAAAAAAAAAAAGAACTTTAAAATCTCCCCTCCTTTCTGTTCCTGATTAACACAGTAAACCTGGCTAAAACCTGCCAGAAATACCCATGTCAACGTTTGAATGCTGTGCTATCTTGAAGTTTTTTTCACCCGATGAATTAGTCTATCACCTTTAAATTGGGCCTCACACACAGTCTCAGGACATGGGTAAAATGTAGACAGGTTCTTTGTCAGAACTCCATGTGAATGGCCTGTGGTCCAATTCCCAGTAGAGTCCTCCTTCCCCTCTGAAACCTCAGGCACACAGTCTTCGCTGCACGTGTTCCTCTAGGCATTCTGGTCTAAGCTCCCGCCAGAATCACCTGTTAAGCTCTCCTTGCAGGAGTCTAAGAATTCCCCATTCTGCATCTCCAAACTTTGCCAAACTACTCCCATGAACAGTCCCTAAGGTTTTTGAGCTACAAGGTCAGATTAATCACAGCCATTACCCCACTGCTTGGTATCAAGTTCTGTGTTAGTCCGTTTTTCATCCCTGTGGCCAAGATAGCTGACAAGGATGGCTTAGAGGAGGAGAAGTTTATTTTGAACTCAGGGTCCCATGGTCAACCTCCTCCATTGCTCTGGACCTGAAGTGGGGCAGGACATCATGGCAGAAGGGCATGGCAGAGGAAAGCTGCTCAGCTCAAGGTAACTAGGAAGCAGAAAGCCCATAAAGGTTTATGAATGTTCCATTTACCTGAGAATCTTACAGATCCCTGGGAGAAGCAGAAATGGAGTAATGAAAACTTGAAGATAAGTAAGAACTGGAGGCTTAGACTAGTATTCTGACAAAATAAGGCAGGTAGGAAACAGATATATTGACCTCTTGGGTAGCACCCCAAGGAGGAAAGCCTAAGAGTTTGACTTGTGTAGAAAGTCCTAAATGTTCAAGGATTTTTTTTTCCAAATACCCCAAGAGGATGGTGGTTTATAAAAAAAAAAAATAGAGTCCAGTTGTCCATTATAGACACAACAAAAAATTGAGAGAAACTGAGCAAGAGTTGTAACACTGATCTTTAAAGACTTGATGCCTTCTCACCTCTCCCTCCTCTGATTTGCCCTCTTCTATTTCCGTCTCCGTGAAACAGCTGTGGTTGGGTTGAAGGAGCCCTCCTGGGCCCCACAAGGGAGAGAACAGAAAAGGACCCACAGAATTGGGAAGAATGATATCAAGACAAATGACAACAACTGCAGCTTCAAAGAGAAGAAAAAGGTGCAGAACAAAATTAAGCCACCAGGAGGTGGAGTGGGGATAAGCGAAAGTGGCTTACAGCAGAAGAACTTAACTACCAAGGGGAACTCCCGAACCACAGTGATATCCCAAGGGAGAGGAGAGACTAAGGGAGAATGGTTCTTAGAATCCTTAAGCAAAATCAGAGACAAGAAGAGTTTCTGATACTGATTTGCACCTATCTTTCTTGAGTATCCTCATAGGCTGGATAGTAAGAGATTTGGGGTTCATTTTAGTTACTGATTTTTTAATGCATAGTTACGATTTGGGGTTCTTTTTATAGCAGAGGTTGGAGATTGGCTCACAGTTTCTTCTAAGTACTTTGCAGAGAAGGTAGGTAGGTTCTCATCAGGTGGACAGTGATGTTTTTTTGGACACATAGTTTCTGAGTTAAAAACACTGCTCTTGGGAACAGTTGACTTTTTATTTTAAATTAAATCCAAAAGAAAAAACTAGAAAAAAAAGTTTTTAAAAATAGGCTAAATAGCCACTAAAGAACATTCTGAAGTTCAGATGCACAATTGTAGGGGAATTTAAGAAATGAGCATACCTAATTACAAGATGGGCTTTTCTAAGGAGATACTGTCTGAAGAGACAGAGGCAGGCCCTGGATTCCTTCCATACAAACCATCCCCATCCTGTGTCCATGCAAAATTTGTTTATTTCCAGCTCTGTACATCAAAATGTTCTGCCATGTTCCTTCTTGTCACAAAGCCTTTTGTGAGTCCTGGAGGTTCTAACTGTCTTTCATTTCTTCCACAGGTAATCGATTGGCACTTCTCTGACCCTTCAAAGTGTGGGATTGTTCAACATTGTCGGAGCATTCTCTTTACTTCTACTAAAAATTAAGCAATAGGCTGAAATCCCTGAAGGGGTTTTATTTAGAAATTTGTCAAGATTTCCCAACTCTTATGTGAAGGCAATGCCCTGCCAAGGAGGTTTTGCTGCTCTCTTTGCTTCAAAATATTGGTGTTTTTTTTTTTTTAATGTAGATCTGTAACATCTTTTCAGACATAGCCTATGGAAAGACTAAAGATCAGGATGAATTAAGAAAACATTTTCTTTCTTGTTCCTTAGACCATCTACTTTCTGTACTTTTTGACATCTACAGTGTATCAGAACACAATGCAAAACGCATGGGAGAGCTGTATAAAGTACAGGGAGCAGAAGAATAGCTAGAAAGACAGCTTTTGCATTTCTCCTTGCCTTCCTTTCTTGGAGACCATGGAAAGATCATTCCACATCCCTTTTAAGACTGTGGGCCAAGATTATGGCAGCTTTGAAACACTTTATTTTGAACTTCAGCTATCTGTCCTTGGATCCCCTCTTCATTTAGTCCTGAAGATTTCATGGCTACTATAGGCAACTTCAGAACTTTTCAGCACAGCTCATTATAGACCCCTAGGTGCACTAAGGTAAGCTGGTGTAAAACACAGATCCTGTAGTTACCCCAAGGGATCAAAGATTTAGACCAGATCTCAGATGAACAGGGACCACAAGGTTACAACCACATCTCAAAGCTTCCATCTCAACGGGGCTTTGGGTCCTGTGTCTTTCACCTGCTGCTATACAGCATTATTGGGTTTATCATCTGACCAAAATGTAGGCAGATATTGAAAATTAATGTGAGTACTTCATCACCATTAATCTAACATCTGCAGAGCTGTGAGATGGAAAGGAAAAAATGTGCACTCCAGAAGACAAAGTCTCATTCTGCCCCCTCTCAGGTGTGTCATCCTAAGCAGGTTATTCCAAGGAAGAGACTCATATGCCATGAGGAAGCATGAGATAAGTCCAGTAATGCACCTTTGTGGGTATGCTCATCTACTTTTAAGTATTATTAAAATCACTGTGTACCACAAGCCTTACATGCTCCAGTAGTACAGGCAAATAAGCTTCTAAGGAACATGTTTTTCTAAGCTGATTTCTATTCTCTCCCTTCACCGTCCAACTCTCTACTCTTTTCCATCCTGTGCTCATTATTGTCAATTAGACACAGTTTTCACCAACATTTTTTAGCCAGCAGTTCCTCCCTTGAATACTTTATCCCTGCAAGGTTCCCAAACAACTCTAAGCTAGACCTTCAGTACAGACAATTGTCCTAAGAGACAGTAAATACCAGCCTACCTGTTGATATCCCCAAGGATGCTGGGGGAGGGGAAGACAATGGAAGACATTAAATTGAGAGTGAGCAGACCTGGGGGTCATGGTCTGTAATCTACCACTTATTAGTTATGTGACTTTATTTCTGTTCATCTCTACTTTATTCACTAGAAGATCAGACTAACAATGCATGTGTCACTCAGCTCATGGGGCCCCTCCCACAGGGTTATAATAAGGCTCCTGTAAGTGTTGCCCAAATATAGTAGGCATATACAGCATAGCAACTTGTATTCTACGCGATGGTTTTGGGTGGCATATGGCCAAACTTTTTCTCCACTTTTAAAATTATATTTAAAACTCTAAATTTTGTATTAGAAAAAAATATATAACTAACACACCAAATACATGACCTCACAGATATGATTGCTCAGAAAGAGGCTGTAGTAAAAATCAGTAAAAAATCATGATTGTGTATGTGAAATGTATAATTATGTCAGAAAACTCAGGTAGGGTTCTCATAGTATATGGATCTCTGCAATAACAGAATAAGACAGCTGTAGGGCTGGGGCTATAGCTCAGTGGCAGAGCACTTGCCTAGCATGTGTGAGGCACTGGGTTCGATCCTCAGCACCACATAAAAATAAATAAGTAAAATAAATGTCTATCAACAACTAAAAACACTTTAAAAAATAAGACAGCTGTCTGAAGACTCTGGGGGACTATAACAAAAATATCATTATTACTGATACTGTTTTCATACAGGAGAGGGGAACTGATTTGAGACTATATCAAAAATATCTGGCAGATGCAAAGAAATGCACTAGTGTGGGCAAATGTTAATCGGTTTTGTTTCTGTTGGGTTTTCCTCTGGGAAAAGTTCCTGAGGAAAGTTTCCTGATCTTTTTGCACAGTGAAAGGACTTCTCCTAAATATCTGCATTTGGAGAGATGCACTCTCCAGAAGTAATAGGAGTAACTAAGCCTAACCAGTATCATATTAGAATCATTCATTATAGCCTCCAAATATTCAGCGCAGCTGGGATTAATCTAACCATAAAATTATTATTTCTAAATCAAATACTCTTCTGAAATCCAAATATGTAAAGTCTAATTTGTTTTCCTTCATTCCCTAATTTTTACGTTCTGTCCAAAAAAATTAGCAAATTTCCTGGACTCGTTTTCTCTGTTTAAATGCCCAAAGTAACTTACTTCTTTACTGGTTCTGGTTGCAGGATTGGTAGATTAGACTAACATTCACTATATTTACTGGATTCTTCCTATCAACTCACAAACTGGCTACTTGACAATGTTTGACGGGCCAGTTACTTCTGCTTGGAAAATTACTGCCTTAGTGAACTTCCTAAGTGATACCTTGGTGGATCGAAGGAGTTAAAACAAACTTCTAAAACAGCATAATTTTCAATGTGGGAATAGTTTGTGTGTTGGGAGACTGTGTCAAAGCATGGATTTATAACAAAATAACTTGACTAAAACCAGAATGTGACATATGGAGCTAATGCTATGTGCAGAGTCAAAATGTAAGAGTAAAAATGTAAGTCATATGTAAAAAATACATTTGACCAGACCTGCAAATAAGTCCACAGAACTTTAGCTTTCAGACCATCTGCTAGTGAATAACTGAAGATAATGATCCATTACTCCCATAAGGCATCATGTGCTTGCTTGTTCTGACATTCAGCATCGTTACTTGGAACGATGGTATTACTGATTTGCTAAAAAATGCAAGTTTGAATATTCATTTTATTTCTTTGAGTCTTACCAATGTGTCTAGCACGTTTGTAAGTTGTACTTCTCTTTACAGGCGAGGTCTCCAAAAAGAAGTTTCTATTTTGATTTAAATAGAAAGTACATGAATTTACTTGCTGAAACTGGCTACCTGGTATGAAATGCAAGGCTTGTAAATATTAAGCATGACATAGGCATATAAAGTGATGTTTTAAAATACATCTCCCAGAACTCAAAAATGCAAAGGAATGTTGTCTCTTCAGCACATTCTCGTTGGGAGGTCATATACTTATTGTGCTGGTTTTCCTCTAAACATTTGGAACTCCTCTTGTGGAATAGCCCTCAGAGCCTGCAGAGCATTTTTCTGAGAGTGCTGCTCTGTGCCAAGTCTTTATCCTCTGGGGTGGGGTGGGGGATGGGAGCCAGGACAAGATAGGGAATTTAATGATTTCTGGAAAGAGCCAAAAGTTATCCAGAGGTCAATCTGGTAAAATAGTGTGAGTATAACCATTTGGGGTTAAAAAAGAAGAAGAAGAAGAAAAAGAAAGAAAAAAAAGAAAGAAAGAAAGAAAAGGAAAGATATTAAAATGCTATTCATGAAGTGTGGAACCTAGCTCTGTCGTTTGTCCTGTGAACTGACTCCATAAAGGCAGCTTTGGCCCATGACTGGCATTCTTTGAATAAATATATAAAATCTTCCAAAGGGGCTCCTTTTCATGTCACATTTCAAATGCTCATTTTCTTATATAAGATGCAAAATGCTTGGTTCACAGACGAGCAAGATCATACATAGGCAAGAACAACCATTTACCAAGGATCTCGAATCAAAATAAAGACTGTTAGGTAAACAGGCTTTCTTGGAATCACTGAGGAATGAAAATGACTTTGCTGTGAATGCCTTCCTTGTTCTTCCCCACTGGAAACTCAGCTAGGATTCAACCATTGTCTATGCATCTACCGTATACATACTAATATAAGGCAAGAACAAATACGAGACACTGCTATTTTCTATTTCCCTCATCAACCACCACTTGCAACTATTTAATTAATTTATTTTCATATCTATTTCAACCATTTTATATATGCTTATAGTTATACATCACTAACAATTTAAATCAATGCATTATTTTTATATTTCATATGAAGACACATGACTATAGACACATTTTTTCTATCATAATCAATATATCCCAAGCCTCAGCATATCATTAAGAAAGTTGTTTTCTCTCATTCCTCCTGCAGTTGTATATTCTCTGAGCCCAATGTGCAACCACTTACTGTAATACTTTAAAAAAATTAGATTTAAAAGGCTTGTTCACATTAACACCCATCCTTGAAAATGTGAGGCCATTCACCCAAGTGAAAGGATAATTAAATATTTATTAAAGAACACCAGTTCTACTTACGAACAAAATCAGGCACTGATTGAAGATGTTTCAGATGATGCATCTCCCTCAAAGAGGATGTTGTAATTAACAATAAAATAGTGGAGAAAACACCCTACTGTAAGAGGCTATAAAAATAAAACAATTCCCTCTCTCCAAGGAGTGATTTTTTGGGAAATGTTGCCTGGCAGTTAAGTGTACATGAAGTTCACGATTTTCTCTGTCACCCTATGCAGACTGAATATCCTTCCGTGTTTTCATTTCCATTGGAAGAGTTAAAATTGGTTTCCAAATTAAGTCAGAGTTCACAGGAAGAAATCTGATAGAGAGGCAGTATGAGAGAGAGAGAACAGAATATGTTTGATTTTCTTTTGGCGTACAGTAATGAAAACCAAAACACATTACAATTGTTTGCCCCTAGAGATGAGAACATATGCAATGGATTACAAAGCAAGTACCAAAAAGCTCTGCGATTTTCTGTGTGAAAAATAATAGAAAATGGTTGAAGAAGAGAGTGATTAGGAAATGAAGCAGAAGGGCAGGAATCCATTTAGGAAAATCATACTGCTACTCATACCAGATCGTCACCAAGATTTTGGCTTTGGGTTTTCCCAGGATTTTTTACTTTGGGTTTCTTGCAGACTATCCTGTTTTGATGTTAACCCCCATATAAACTCACTATATTTAACATTGTGGCTAAACCTAATGTTCTGATCCTGAGCCCCTAGAATTTATATGGGCTTGGTGGCTGTTCTGGTGTGTTCACAATTGTTCACAGTCTCATGTGTTCAAAATTGTCCTTCAGAGACCAGCAGCATTCCATCAACAAGGCAGGCTTCCTGCTGTTGACAGAAGCGTGATGGCCTCTGTATTTGAAACTGGAGACAAATAAATAATGGCATTTTTTTCTGGGGGATAAGTGAGGTGCTAGTTTTAAATTTCTCTTCCTCTCTTACTTTGCCAAAATGATGGTCTTTGAGGGACTAACCAAAGCCCACTGACCTTAGTGGACTGAATTAATCAGTTTTGCAGAGACCCAAAACCAACATATAGATTTAATATAAGGTGTTTCCACAAAATCATGAAGGCTAAGAAGTTCCACAGTCTGCTATCTACCACTTCAAGTGGTGAAGTTTGAAGGCTTGAGAACCACAAAGGCAATGGAGTAGATTTCAGTCCAAGGATGAAGACACAGCACCAGGATTGCTGAGGGTAAGAGGATGGAAGGCCCAGCTCATATAGTCAGACAGTGAACAAATCAACTTTCCTGTCTTCTTGTTCTATTCAGGTCTCAATGAACTGGATGGTGCCCACCCACGCTGGAGAGGCTCAACTGTTTTACTCAGTCCACCAATTTAAATGCTCATCTCTTCTGGAAACACCTTCACAGGCACATCCAGAGATAGTGTTTAGCAATCTATTTGGATATCCATCCCCTACTCAGGTTGAACATAAAATTGAACATCACATATGCCCTTTGCGTGTGTGTGTGTGTGTGTGTGTGTGTGTGTGTGTGTGTATACAAACACAAATACATATATGCATCTTCTCCTAAGTACTTTTTTCTCATGATTTTGGACAAGCATCTGCATAATTTGAAAAAAAAATGGCCTTTAAAAAGAGCTGCTGCCAGGGATAAATAGCTCTTTCTATTTTCTGTAACTTTATTCCTTTCATAGTGTTTCATTGGCCAGAGATATGGACAGTCACATGGTTATCAACATGTCATAAGTAAAAATTTGTCTTAGTCACAGAAAAATGAGTGTGTATGTATCATCTTGAATTCAAGGAGGCAATGCATGGTAGTGGGCAAAGCCGGATGAAGAACAAGTTGAGCTGTAGTCTCATTTCACTTCTCTCTCTTATCTCATCTGTAGACAGGACACGTAATCTGTCTTGTCATCATACACTGGATCATGAAATAAGTGTTCATTCATTCACCTTTTGGAATAATGGCATTTTAGAATAGTGGATGCTGTCAGGTTCCCACATGCTACATTTCCATGTAACAGTGGTTGCTGATTGCTCTGAGCTTACTCTGAGCCAGACACTACATGGTCATGAATGCAGGTTAGCA